TGAAATTAGACCCTTGTCTCTCACATGTACAAAAATTAACTCAAAACGGATTAAATACTTAAACATAGGACCCCAAACTATGAAAATACTAAAAGAAAACATAAGGGAAAAGCTCCGTGACATTGGTGTCGATGATGACTTTTTGGAGATGCCCGCCAAATCGCAGGCACCAAAAGCAGAAATGGACAAGTACAATTACATTAAACTTAAATGCTTCTGTACATCAAACCGTGGATAGAGTGAAGAGACAACCTACAGAATAAGAGAAATATGTGTGTACTATATATTTGATATCCAAAAGGTATGAGGAACTCAAACAACTCAATATTAACGAAAAATATAACTCACTTTAAAAATAAGCACAGGACCTGAAGAGACATTTCTCAAAAGAAGCTATGCAGCTGACAGGTATATGAAAAAATGAGCAACATCAGTAATCCCCAAAGAAATGAAAATCAAAACCACAACGAGATATCACCTCACAGCATTAGAACGGCTAAGATAAAAAAGATGAAAGACAGCAAATGTCGGAAAAGATGTGGAGAAACACCTTGCACGCCATTGTTGAGAAGCCGGCATCCACAGCTTTGAGACTTGGTGAGGTGAACCATTCTCACTGGGGTTAGGAGATATCTCAGGGCTGCACACAGTAACATGACTTTATCTGTCAAATTCTGAACAGTAAAAATAATAAGGAGCACTCCTATGGGAGCAGTTCTGTGTTCTTCCATTTGTAGACCTTTAGAGGTGCTTTCCTTCAGACATGGAAAAATGGGACAATTTTCACAAATTCAGAGAAGGTAGCTAGCAGAGACAATATGGATATAGTTCTACAGCCAGCTGCATTATAATCCCCGGGACTCATATGCAAAAATATGAAATGCACATATGTGTTTGGGGGAAGAACCATGGATGAGACAAAATTAAACTGTACATGGAAGTATGGACAAGGTTTCCAAATAGGTTATAAATCCAGGGATTCCACTTGGGCTGAAGGATACTGCTTGGAAGCAAGTCTCCAGACCCAGAGTTAGAGGAGAGGGAAGGTCTGGAAAAGGGTGTAGCCTAGCACTTTTCAAACTTTAACCAGGATAAGAACCACCTGGAGAACTCAACAGTGCTGATTGACCTGGTGTGTCAGGAGAAGGGCCTGACACTGCCCTTTTCTCACAAGCTTCCAGATCCTGCTGATGCTGCTGGTTCAAGGGCCACATGGTGGGAAAGGGGTTGAAGGACAAATGAGCAATCTGAGTGTTGATTCTGGGATGGTGAAGCAAGGCTTGAACAGCAGAGCAGGCAGGCGGTACTTTTTCCTACAGAGATTTACTCAAATGCTGACAAGAGCTGAGGAGGTAGGAAGGTGAGCAAAGTGGTGTGGTGGTACCACTGCGGGTGGTGGGGACCACTGCCGAGCGCAAGCTGACCACTGAAGGACAGGCTGGAGAATGGCTGCCGTGGGAGAGCATGATCCCCATGTTACCAAATCCCTCAGGTTTTTAAGAGAAGCCAGAAATGGAGACTTTATTTTTATATTAAATCTTCTGGTTTGTAACACCTGTCTCAAATTACACACACACACAAACACACATCCACTGAGTCAAATAAATAGAATTTTCTCAATAGTCCTGGCCATCAGCTTGAAACTGCTTCATCCACTCAATGTAACAAGGTCAAAGGGTCCAAAATACAGGTGCAATAGAAACTAGCACATGAGGGTATCTGGGGGCTTACTGGTATACCACTTGGCTGAAGGTTATGAATTAGAGGTTAAAAAAAAAGTGTATGTGATGAGGAGCAAGGATTAGAACTTAAGTATCAAGAAGACGTGTAAAGATGACTCTGGGAACAGAGAGCTAATGTCAGAAGTATTAAGACTTATTATATAGTTAAGGCTTATTATAGGTGGCTTTGAATGCAAAATGAGGACTTTAAATTGCTTTCAATAAGCAAATGAAAGTCACTAACTTCTTAATGCTTTAAGTCAGAGTTGCCCTATTTAAAATGTGAAAGAAGTCCAAGAAAGCTAAAAATTTAATACTTGAAATTTTGCTCTTTATTTTGCCTTCAAATTTGCCCCATCTGAGGCAACTATGGCTCTCTAGCAAAAGTAGACCCATGTTAATACGAATTTCCAACAGAACAGCAGGGGTCAAATGGGGTGAACAAAATTACCTAGTGCCGAGTAGTGTACCTGTTTTTCTGATGTTTTAGTTAGTCTTTATAGGTTGGCGCTCCAGAGAGTCATCAGGGTGGCTAGCCCCTTAATCTAGATTTCTGCAGGGGAATGACAAAAGCAGAATGGATTCAGGGAAGTGATCTTGTTTGGGAACAGCCTTGCTGTGGCGGAGCAGCGTAGAGGCAGAGGAGTGGATGTGGGAAATAAAATGAGAGAGGAATAGACAGGCCCAAGAGGTTGACTGGTCATAATTAGAGAGCAAGATAGAAAAGGGTCCCTATTGTCTTTGAAACCTAGGATCTTACAAGTATGATAGAAAACATCAAGTCATAAGGAGAAACTTTGGAGTTATCCATATGTTCTCATTTAGAGAAAATGCACAACCTTCCTTTTACATCAGCATTTTAAATTAAGCTTGTGTTCACGAATTCTCTCTAGAGCAGTTCAGGAAGATTCAGTCAAAGCTTTGCTATATTTTGCTGTTTTATTGTTTGTCAAGACTGTAGATACAGACTCTATAAAGCTGTCAACATCAAAACACCTTTATTCTTTCTCCTTTAAAAAGATAACGCAATAAAGATAGGACATCGTGCTGGCTTGTTAAGGTTTCTTAGAAACCCACTGAAGGTGCTACAATGTTGAGCAACACCAGCCCAGAGGACCTGTCTAGAGGAAGGTGAATCAGAGGGAGCAGAGCAGGCATTATATAAACCTTAAATAAAAGAACTCATTAAATGCAAATGAGTCGTTGTGAATTTTTCAGGTGCAACTTATAATTTTCAGAGAGTAAGCAGTGTGAGAGCAAAGCAGAGCCACGTGATAACTGCCAACCTTTATTAATCGCTTGGCACATTCTGAGTGATTTCATATCAAAATTATCCATATAAGTCAAATATAATAATAAAATTTAACCACTTAACAGTGTCCTAAAACAGAAACCTGTAGTTTTTTTGTTTGTTTGTTTTTTGTTTTGTGTGGTTTTTTGAGAGTCTCACTGTGTTACCCTCAGTAGAGTGCTGTGGCATCAAAGCTCACAGCAACCTCAAACTCTTTGGCTTAAGCAATTCTCTTGCCTCAACCTCCCAAGTAGCTGGAACTATAGGCACCTGCCATAACACCTGGCTATTTTTTGGTTGTAGTTGGCCTGGGCTGGATTTGAACCCACCAGCTCTGGTGTATGTGGCTGGTGCCCTAGCAGCTGAGCTATAGGTGCCAAGCCAGAAACCTACAGTTTTATACTAAGTAAAGCAACAGATTCTCTTGAGTAGCATTCCTGTTGAATCACCCTGTGTCCCCCTAATAACTCAGCTGTCTTTCCCCCAAAGCAAGGCAGAAAGCATTTCACCTCTAGACCCATGTCACTGAGAGCTAGGGCAGACTCATCTATAGCGCATATCTTGTCATTGCCTTTTCTCTGAGACAGAGTATTGAAAAAATTTTCCCTACATTGATTTCCCTTTTAGTAAGCACCAGAGGAAAATAAGTGTGCATGGGTCATACCCAGTCAAAAATTGGGTCATTCCCAATCAAGGAATGCAATTAGAAAGAAGGTGTCCTGCCCTAGGGAAAGGCTGTAACTTGGCTATTTCTGCACTCTAGCAGCTCTGGACGTCCATTGTATAGGCTGAGTGAAGATGAGTGAAAACACCCATATGCACATCCATGTATAAATAAGTATACACATAGAGTGTACACGTCCATGACATGAGCACAGAAAATTGACTATATAATGTGCTGGGAGGATGGGTCCTGAAGACCCCATTCTTGGCAAAGGAAAGCACCCCCAGAAAAAGAGGAAAACTAAAATCTGAATGAGTCAGAACAAAGAAAAGTCAGCTAGTTCACATTTAAGCTAGGTATTGCCAGCAAGCTTCTTGCCTTTTCTGAAATTCTAGCCTGTTGGGGATACAGTTTACAAACATGCTGCTGGGTCTGTGAGCACCCTGAGGAGAATAATGGTCATAGAAGAGGCTATGACAATGTCCTAGAAAAGATACACTTCTAGGGCGTTAAACAGGCAAAGCAGATACCCATTGTGGAGATTTGCATTTGCCTGGAGCAGAGACTAAGGGAGTAGCTTGAGCTCTGAGATATGGGCAGAAGAGCTTATATCCCTTATTGCAGAGGAAAATCCTCTATGGTGGTAATGAGAGGAAAATGCCTCCCTCCCACCCATCCCTCAGAGAAGATTAATGCTAAAGGCATTTTACTCCACAGACAACTAGCAGGGCTTAACACCTCCCTAGAAATCTGTGTATGTGACCTTAAGCAGGAGGCTCTCCCAATATAAGGCTCAGATTTCAGATTAATGATAATAATAATGATAGGAGCTGATATGATCAATCCGAGAAACTGCTGATGTCATCCTACCCTCTGGGCAAAAAGACGTCAATAATATCAGAGTAGAGCAAACATTCTGGGCTGTTGCCGGAATCCCTCAACAGGCAATGGAGCCCTGAGCTATGTCTCTAGCCTTTCTTTACTGTCCCTTCTAACTCTGTATTTCTTCAGTCGACCGCTGCCAGTTTCCACAGGTCTCAGTGGATGCTGCTTTGGGGGCGGGACCCTGACATAATGTTATCTGTTTCAAAGGAAATGTGGAAAAGCATTTATGACTGGGAATTCTTTTCTGTTTTTGATTTTTCATGTGTATTACATTTTGGCCCTTAGAACCCCTAAGACATAACTATTTTCTAGCTACTCAAATATGCAGAGGTTTTCAGAGTTTCTCGCTTTCTCTGTGGCATGGTTCCATCCAGCAAACATAGCTATGATGTGAACGATGATTTCCCGAGTCTCATTATTTCACTTGTGTCCTTTCCAGGAAGCAGAATGTGCCTACACCCTCTTCGTGGTGGCCATACTTTGGCTCACAGAGTCTTTGCCTCTGTCAGTAACAGCTTTGCTGCCTGGCTTATTATTCCCCATGTTTGGGATCATGTCTTCTAAGGAGGTAAGTTCTTCTGCAAATGTTCATCAAAATTAGGTGCCTTATTTGTGCAGAAAATTTCCACCGGAAAAAGAGTTGTGTTTAAAGGAAGCAATGGTCCCATTGACAAAACTTCCACATAAGTCCCCCAAATTTCCAGTTGTTTCTTGGCTCAGGAATTCTGCATATGTGTTCAGATGCAGGGAACAAACGCAGACCACCTAGGCTGCAACTTCTTGAGTCACAAGTGTCATCTTCTCTCACTGACATGACATCTGTACCTGGTGCCTCTCTCCCAACAAATGGGGAAACTTGTTTGCATTCTGTGAAAGCTTCTATGAAGCAGAATTTGGTCTCATCGTGATGGAAAACAATTTTTTTTTTTTTTGCGCTGCCCGGGTCCACTGCTGCTGGGCAGGCGCTGCCTTCTCCAGGTTAATGGTCTCCTGATCCTGTTGGAGCGCCATGTGCTTCAATGTTAGCAGTGTTGAGCTTGCCTCGAGGGCCGCAGGCCCCGGCTTAGAGTTGCCCAATATCACTGCTCCCGGGGGTGGGCGGCAAGATCAACCTGCAGCGCCAAGCAGCGTGAGCTCGGCCCAGCCAACCAGTTGCTCCAACACAGCCGAGCAGCACGCCAGCTGTAGCCACCCGCTGCAGCCCAGGCCAGCCTGCCCGCCCGCCTGTTCCTCGGGCTCCAGACCACGTAGGACCGAGGAGGTCGTGAAAGGCACGGGCAGGCACTGCAGGCATGGCGGGCCAAAGTCGTCCCCAAGTTGTAGCAAGCAGCCTGCCCAAAACAATTTTTGTTTTTAATGAAGAAAGAGCTTCATTGTGTTCTTTTCCAGCAAAACCATTTCAAAATATAAAATCAAAGTAACTTTCATATTTATTTCCATTTTGTTCTTGCTGAGAGGAGTTTATTCATGCTAAGAGGTGAGTCTTACCTTTATACAATCTATGGGTACCCATCTGCAGAAAATGGATTAATTTTCTCATTAAAAGCACGAAATGTATTGAAACCAGAAATATCCATGTCCATGTAGTCTCCAACCACCAAGCAAACACCAACTAACTACCAAACACAGCTGGAACCTTATCAGGAAGGATGTTGAGTTCAACACCGCCAGTCAGTGCGATTTATGACCTCTGGACTTCTGTCTTTTGCCTGGGTTCAGCACTGTTATCTTGGGGCTCACCTTTAATGTGGGTGGGGAGTTTTCTTTCTAACTTACCCTTGATTGCAGTTCTTCCTGTTAGAGGGGCCGTTCTCTTCTTTACTGTTGTGTCATTCTTCTCCATTTGGGAGCACAGGCGTCCTTTTGCATCTTAAACCTCTCTGCTCCTCTTACTGCATTTTCCTTTTCATCTTAATCTTGACCCTCTTCTTTCAAATCATCGTCAATTTGGGAGAGCATTTGGCCCGTGCTGTCCAATTCCTCCTCTCCCCAGACTGACATGCTGTCACCTCATGGAATCTGAGATCTACTCTCTATGATGTTTCTTAAGTGCTCCAGTGCATTTAAAGAAATGATTGACAAGTTCTCAAAAATAGGATGTCAAATTGTTAATCCCAGTGTTACTGTCTTAGATGGTTGTCTCCAGGGACAGTTAAGTTTTATAGTTTTATCTCTCATGGTTTAATAACAACGAACTGGTTAAATTAACTTTAAAGGAAAAAAAGGCTGAGGTAGAGTGAAGTTCACTGGAGTAATGAAGCATTTCTGTAGCAGGCAGCTTGGTGAGAGGGCATATATAGAGGGGCACCACAGAGAAACAGAAAGAAAAAAGTACCTGGGAAGGTCTGGCTTGGTGGGCGCTGACAAAGATATATCTCTCTACCTCTTCCTGGTATACAAGGGCCTGACAAGAGGCAGCAAAATCATAGGTGCCAATAAAACTTGCATCACTCCAGCTGAAGGTACCTGCCCAAAAGTTTTTATTCCCAAAGGTGCTAGCCTCAAACTACTTGAATAGTCATTAAGTCTCAAACTTGGGAAAGGAGTTTTTCTGGGTCACCTCTCCCCTAACACATGGACCCTTGCCATAATGTCTCTGATAGATAGGATCATTCAGAAAATGCTTAAAGATTCTTTAAGTTGTGGGGCTTTATCATCCCTCAAAGAAATTCATACCATTTTGAAGAGTTTTAACTCTTAAGCAAATCCCCTTCATTGAACCTCAGTCTAAAACTCAGTCACTTTGACACACTAAATAGTTTTCTAACATTTAGGATTTGACAATTAGACCTTATCTTTTTTTCTTGCATGATAGTATTGCTTGGATTTGAAAATTAATATTATTTCTTCCTTGTACCTTTCCACCTTGAGTCTCTCTGGTCCAGAACTCCCATGCCCAAATCTACCACCTCCAGCTCTGTCACCATCACCATCTTCTTTTCTCTCCATGGAACTAACTCTAGTTTGTCAATGATACTTAAGAACTACATTAGTTAATATATGTAAAGTCTGTTACATAGCAAACAGTCAATATATGTAACCTAATATTATTTGTACATTGACAAAAGTGAATGGATTATTCTAGAAACATTCCAAGTGTTGCAAAGGTAAATGAGTCATCTCCCCTCTTGCATTTCAGTTGGACTTTTTAAAAACTTTCTGGGCCTTTCTTCACCTAGTAACCTGAACTAGAACTTTCAGCAAATCAAAAACTTTTCATGGAGATAACTGATTGTTTAGTCTTCTGATCTTCTTTCCAGGCAGGGAAACTTATTTTTTTTATTCACAAATAGCTGACCAAAGATACAGGTTATTATGGAAAGATCCAGAAATTTAATCAGACAGACAGAGATCAAAACCTGCTATTTACCCCTACCTAATGACTTGTTATGATCCTAGTCATGTTTCTTAATAACTCTTATTTATCATCTATAAGTGGGACATGCTAATGACAAAGAACCCATGGGTTGTTATAACAACCAAACTAAATAATCTGTGATGCAAACTAAGTTTCAAACATTCTTAGGCGTTTTAACATTCACAAGTGGTTTGTTTGGAGAGATTTAAATGGTCGTTCTAGCCTATTGCAGCATCTTCCAGTCACAAATGTGTCGTTAATAACCTCAGCTAAGTTCAGAGCCCTAAACACTTCTCTCTGTGATCATCATTGCTTTAACTTTACTTCAGCAAGTGCTAAAAACCTATATCTTGCTGGACACATTATGGCACTTGGAGAATGTCAATTATGAAGATTGTGTCAAGGAGGTAATGTGAGGAGGGAATGGATCAGCTAGGAGCTTCCCTAAATTATTGAATGTGGCCTTCCAGCTTTTTGACCTGCCAAGTGGAAAAAAATGAAGTTATCAACTGACCTGGGCAGAGCAGGTTTTACTACAGAGAAGGTCTGCCATGGGGGGTTCAGCGCTGGACATGTACATTTGAAATGCCTACCAGACATCTAAGTGCTGATGCGGAGTAGGCAGTAGACCACAAATGAGTCCAGAGTCCATGAAAGAAAGAGTTGATCAGAGATATAGACTGAGAGTCATCAGCATGTAGATGTTAAAGTCCGAAGATTTGATGAGATCACTTAGGAAATGTAAAGATAGAAAAGCAAAGAGGAAAATGAGCTGAGCTCTGCATAACTGCAATGGTAAGAGGTTAGTGAGAAGAGAATGTACGAGCCAAAGAGAGTGAGAAGGAACTGAGATAGGAGGAAAACCAGGAGGGTGAAGCAGTGTTTTCAAGGTGAGGTAATGATCATGTGTATCAAATCTGATGATAAGGCAGTTAATATGATAACTAGATATAAATCGTTGGATTTCACAAAACAACACTATACCTAACAAAGCACTTGTAAATATTGTACCTCATTTAATTTATAAACTTGATGTGAAGTTACTAGTTAATTTTTACAATTTTTTATTGATTCGTAGAAAGGTTGCTCACCTGGTAAATTACGTAACTAAGAGAAAACCTGGGTGCTGTGGCTACTGAAGTCCATGTTTTTTGATGAAGTCCCACTTTGAGACGGAAGGATACCTACTTTGATTTTGCAAATAGATTTCAAATTTTCTCAGAACTTTTATTTGACATACCAATTTTGCCTTGAGAATAGTTATATGTATCAGTGTGGTTCACAGTAGCACCTTCTTCTATTACGTCCCGGACAAAACAGATAACCAATGTTTTTCTGTAAATATTCTAACTCCAGTGAAAACCAGAGAATAGGTAATAGAGTGAAAACATAGAGAATGTGAACATTCCTCCTTAGGTTCAACAACTATTTTCATTTAGAGTGAAGGGCATGTTTGTTTGCATGGTCTTTTGAGGAATTAGCAAACTATGGGTCTAGAAGGTCAAATCCATTGTGCTGCCTAATTTTTAAGATAAATTTTTATTGGAATAAAGCCAAAGCCATTCATTTACATATTACCTTCAGCTCTTTGTGCCACAACAATGGATTTGTATAATTTGCAATAGAGACCAGATGGCTTACAAAGTCTAGCATATTTACTGTCTGGATCCTACAACGACTCACTTCTCAGATAACATGAATAGATTACAACAAGAACATCTCATAGTCCTGGACTTCTTTCTGTGTTTAATCACTTGCTAATCACTAGTAATGCAAACTCTCTGCTCCATGGGTGGCACCTTGTTGCTATACCATCACCATCACGTAGTAGAAGGAGTAAGGGGGCTCTATGAAGCCTACTTTATAAGGGCACTAATCCCATGTGTGAGGTTGGAGCCAGCATCTTAGGTTCATGTTAGGTGCTAAGATATGAATTTGGGGAGATACCAACATTCACACCATAGCAGTCACTGGGGCATATTTCCATGAGCAAAATTGCAAAAGAGATAAGGCCAAAAAAACCAGAACAAAACCCTGAAATATCACTCATCTTTCAGAAGTAAACTTGAGTATAAGGTCCTGTAATAAGACCTTCCTAATCCCTAGGAGAAAAAAATTGTGCCTTATTCCGCTTATTCTTTGAATCTGAACTCTGCCTTCAGGAGGTATTTCTCATGCACATATGATACTCTTTGTTAATTTGTTTTTTCTGATCGAACAACCTTTAAAGTCATTGAGTCTAGACTCTAGGCACTTATTAATCCAACATCTACTGAGTGCCAATATGTGCTAAGTAAGTGCTAAGGCTGTAAATATGATGGTCAATAAATCACATCCTGCTTTTAGTATACACCTTATGTAATAAAGGGGACAGATAAATGAAGAAATGGTTATATAGAGTAAATGTGCTATAAGAAAGGGGAATATCATTCAAAGCAGTTTAAGGTCTTAGGGAAGGGATCTTGGAAGAATTGACATCTGAGTTACTCCATGAGGGGCTATAAAGAGCAATCAAGGCAAGGAAGGAGAGGGTCATTCTAGGTTGAATTACAAGCAAATGTTAAAGCATTTCTGTGTTTGGAGAACTGTGTGCATAGGAAAAAGCAGTATGGATCAGTTAAATGACTAGAGAGGTGAAGCGGGATGGTTGATGAAGGATCTTGTATACCATGTTAAGAAATTACACTGGGTTTATTTTAGCACATGGGATTCACTAAAAGGATGTATGAAAGTCAATTATGTCGTCAAATTCATACTTTGGAAAAGTTACTATGACAGGTAGAGGATGAATTAGATAAAGACAGATCGTACAGTAGCCAGGTGGGGAACAGTGAAGTCCTTAATAAAGCTACAAAAGACCCATGAATAATACGGTGTAATGACTAATCCACGCATGCTGGAAGTGGAAAAGGAATCACAGCTGACCCTTAGGATTCTGGCTCAGGCAACTAGGTACAGAAGTTTCATTCACCACAAACGGAGGTATGAGAGGAAGGACTTGTTAGAACAATGGACAGTAAAAAGATGAGAAGTGTCATTTTGGATATGTTGTGGAATATTCAAATGGAAATGACCAGTTGGATATACCAGTTTGGAACTCAGAAGACATATCTGTCTGAATATAGAGGTCTTGGTATAGTCAGCATTTATTTAACAGATATGTATTAAGTAGCTACTATATAGATATCAGACATTATTTTGGTCCCCTAGAGATAGAAATTGAATTCTTAAAATCTAGCCATTGGATGTATAAGACAAAAAGGTTATGGACAAAAGCTTTAGAAGAACAGAGGAAAAACTAATTTTCAAAGCAGGCAAAAAAGAAAACTTCAATCAGGAATAGAAACAGGGAGAAAAAAATAATGGCTCCGAAATCTGTAAACAGTAGTCAATTGATAAATAACTTATACCTAGAGTAAGGGTTGAAAGAGTTAGAAGAACAGGAGGTGGGGGCACAGTGTAAGCAACTGTGATTCAGATGCTCAGAGACCATAACTTATTCATTACCTCTTTCACTCACTTCCTCATTCATTCAGTACTATTTCCTGAGCTCTCCTTCTCTGTGCAAGACTGTACTATATGCCCAGTATGCAGTGTGAGCAAAACAGGTCCTGGTCCTCACAGAAAGCCTAGTATAATAGAGAAAACCAGTAACAAGCAGGTAAATGACCAGAATTTGTGTAACAGTAATAAGCAGGTAAATGACCAGAATTTATGTAATGTGATATACTACTAAAAAAATCAGGCTCTGTGATACAGAACATTACTAGGATCTATTTAGAAAGGCTTGATATTTGAGAAGTGAAGATATGCAGAGAGGAAAAAATACATAAGACATTTATTCCTTTGCCCTTACAACATTTTTGGTGCATGGCAGATGTTCTTTTCATGTCAGAGCAACTAATACATGAAATAATAAAAAAAAAGATATAATCATGTATTTTCTATTACCCAATCACTGCAAAATGTAGAGAGATGAATAAAACTCTGAAAAACATTATAAATTACATTTGTATAAAAACATACGTAAGTTATCCACTTGTCTACTTTAATTTCAAGAGATAATTATTAATCTTTTTGATTTTCATCAAAACCAATTTTGCTAAACTATGTTTAAAATGCAGACACAATTTAAAATATTATACAAAGAAATAGAATTTATTTTCCTTTTCCTTCACAGTTTCCTAACATTCGGATGGTTTTGACCCAACACTTCCATTTCTTCTACTAGACATTAGTTGATTTTTAAAGGGATATTTCTTCCTCGAATCCTTTCCTCACAGCACAGCTTTGGGTTTAGATTTAGCCATGTATTTTCTACAGTAAGTTCTCTTGAAAAGCAGTCCTCTGAAGTGTTCCAACTAAAAAGAGATAGAAATAAACTTTTTATGATTAAATGAGCTTGGGAAATATGCAATATGTGATATCCCACTCCTTGAGAATGATAATATACACTATACAAAGGTTTTGAGCAAAGCTACAGCCAAAAAAATAAAAATTAGGATTTCAGAATTCTATGTTTTCTAAACTTAATTGACCACATAATCCTTTTTTTTAAAAAAAAAAATATGTCAGGTGTGTTAAAAAAAAGAATTACACACCTAACATATTTCAGAGCCTTCCTTGGGAAATACTGCTGCAAATGATTGATTAAAAGTGACTGGACACTTTATAATCTCTGAATATTTAGTCTTTGAAAATAGCTTAAACCTGTTGGCCCTCATTTTAGAATATGAGTTTTATAATATGTAATTTGAAGGTAAAACCATTTAATAAATGGAGAGACAGCTACAGCATAATGGGTGGTGAAGAAGGTATTGGTAGGTTGGATCTTGAGTCAGGCCTTTTCCAAATCACAGTTATTGTTATTCTGCCACAAGATTATAAATAGATTGACCCCAGTTCATATCTGGAAAAATAAGGACACAGAAGACACTTGTTTGATGTTATACACCTATTCAATAACCCAGTACCCTAGGGACTCTATTTTCTGTATATTTTTACATAACATTATTTTTGGGTAAGAATACAGAACATGTTTGAATTTGTATTCAAACACATGTACATTTTTTCTCAACAAAATAGATGATGTACTTGAAGTTCAAAGTTAAGAGCAGCATGATAATGTGTTTCTTGTGCAGTGTTCTCCCCCCACCACCCCATGTGAATAACCGTGAGTTTAATTGAAATTACAGGTGGCATCGGCTTATTTCAAAGATTTTCACCTACTGCTGATTGGAGTCATCTGTTTAGCTACATCAATAGAAAAATGGAATTTGCATAAAAGGATTGCCCTGAGAATGGTGATGATGGTGGGTGTGGAGCCTGCATGGTGCGTACTGCATTCACTTGCTTCCAGTTTACATTCTGAACAGATCATGTCTTGTTCAGAGCAAACAGCCACATAAGGAATGCACATCCAAAGAATTGTTTGCATCACCGTATAATTCATGACTTTCTTTTTCTTTGCAAATACAAAAGTGATAAGGGTTCTTGAATTATAGGAGGAAAAAAAAATCCACCGTTCCTCTCACTGCAGGTCTACCTGCAGAGAGATTTGAATAAGTGTATGCAAGTCTCACCTTTCACACACCATAGAAGTCAAAGCTGAGGGAACCCTTGGACCTCAACAGATGCGATTGATAGACTTCAGAGTAGATTCAGGCCTATCTTGTTTATTCGGCTAATTACACACTCGGAACTTGTTGAAGGCCACCCTTTATCATCAGGGAGGATGTTAAGAATCAAAACAAAGACATTACTGAAAAATCACCATTGAGTGGAAAAAGAGTCCAAGGTGAACACTTTTTAACAACTGACTTTTGCAAAGTGAAACAATCAATTAAGATTTTTCATCTCTAGAATGTGAAATCACTCATTTGACTGATTTTCTTCCTCTGAAATGAATGCTTTTTTTTTTCATGAAATTAATCAGCTGTTTTGGTTTTATTCCATCTCTTGTCAAGAACATGAATGTAAGCTAAGGAAAATTTCCAGTGTCGTATCGTTTGCATGGTGTCATTTTGCTTTAAAGCCTGAGATGGTTCTTTCCCCTTTTCACCTTTGACAATAAGAATGCTGCGTGGACCTCTGGTGCATAATTCATTCTAGGCCAAAGCCGCTTCTGTGCTCATCACTTATGACATAAACTTGTTTTGTTAAATACAAAAAAAAAATACCAGTCAGTTGCTCAGATGAGAAAAATTAAACAATTTTTTAAAATTAAAAATGTTATAACATATGTGTGATTAAAGCATCTCACCATTGAAATGGTACTCCATGCCTCTTGGGGTGCCTTGGAAATGCATCTCTTTCTTCTGACCATCTGCTCACTGACTTAAGGGGATGGGGTGATGCACTGCACAGTAGGGCAGGAGTCCTATCCACTGTGCCACTTAGTGACTTTTCAATTTAAGGCATTTTCACCATCCAAAAGCTTTATCTGATCCCAACATTTTTACAGGAAGATTTCATGTCTTACCAAAT